AAACCAGCAGAGAGCTCAAAGACCAGTGTCAGCAAGCCAGTGCTGTAAAAACAACATGTCAACACCACTTAATACATACACATTAAAGACTAACACAACCTCATGTGACAGCTGGGAGTAACCAATCAGCACTTAGCTGGGAACTGAAAGAAAAAAAAAACCCAATGGGAGCTACTGTGAGTAATGAAGTGGACAATTAGACAGTGGACTCATTCTGCCATGTGTTGAAGATGATGAGATGACACAGCAAAGCATCATGGGAGGAACAGCCAGCCACATGTGTTCTTGAGGCAGCTGAAAGGTTTGTGTGCACCCACATACTGTTAATGGATATCCATCGGTTTTATCCACTTCTTTTACCCTTAAACTTAGCACAAGTTATTTTTATATCAATGTGAGATTCGCTTAATCAACATGCTATGTGTTGAAGAGTCGACATCATTTTTGCTACATAACCATGGACCTTTACTTTACTATGCTGAATAAATCCAAGTTCTGATCCTCCTTAGCCAGGCTTTTAACCAACACGTCGTCTTTCCATAGACATTTAAAAGAGAAAAAATTTAGTATTGCTCTTCTGTGAAGTTGGAGAACTCACAAAATACAGTTTGAAAAGGGAGTGGTTGAAAATCAAAGCAGTAGAGACAGAGAAATTGTCGTATGGGTAAAACCCCAAAAAACCCCAAAAACAAATGAACAACAACAAAAAAAAAACTGGAACACATTTCCCATAATGAAGCTTCTAGCATAATTTTCTTTGATCTTCCCTGCCAGTCCCAAAAAACTGTTTTATAGTCTCCAAACCCAAGCTGAGTTTTCTCAGATCCAAGTATGAGCATCACTCCTCTACTGACCTTTATGTGTGTGAATGCTACTTTAAGCCAAAACAGAAACAACTTTATTCCAGTGCAGTTATTCTGAATAAAGACCACTGTTGTCATTATCAGGCTGATCTCGTCTTCCTTCACATTTATGTCAAAGTGCAACAGGCAGAGCCAAAATGTCTTGGTCAGGTCAGGTGATCGTCTTAAGGATATACTACAGCAAAAGAAACAAAAGCTTGAAATGCAGACAAAAGAAACAATGATGGTTAAATGCCAGTGCCACTTCCTGCTGGAGCCCAATTGGAGCAAACCAACTGAGACCATGAGTTGTTTGTGCTCTGCCCGCTGATTCAGATGGAGCTCAAAAGGTTTTGTGAGCGCATTCTCATTAGCCTCCCATCCTAATTCTGAAAAACTAGCAGGGTGGTAACAACTTCTATCTCCACGAGGACAAGCCAGGCATGAAGACCAGGACAAAACAGTGAAGTGCAGCTCTTCAGAGCCTGGCACCTTGGCTACAGGAGACCAGGGTTACACAGAGTAAGAGTCACAACGAGCTATTGAGACGAGACCAGGAACAGATCACATTACAGGATGATGTTACAGTCACATTGGCTGTATGTGTGTAAATGTCATCTAGAAGCTGTTGCACAGTCTTGCTGTCACGGTGCTCGTGCAGGATACAGACACAACAATCCGCATCCAGCTTAAAAAGAAACTAATACTACATATGTTTTGAGAGAACTAATACTCAAACTAATTACAGTTTAATTCTTCAATAAATTTGAATTTCTGTCCACCCACATCCACTGGCCTCAGTCAGAGATAGAGATAAATATTAATACATTTATACATTCAACATCTCGTTCTTTCCACTTAATTCACACATTTTATCTCTTCACTGAAAATGACAATGTTCTTGCTTAAGGAAGTTAAACAGTATATTGCAAAGTGAGATATCTTCTTCTATAAAATGACTGGTGATATATAACGTATCTAAAATTCTTGCAACACAGGACGGAGTTAAGTCAAATAAGAAATCAAATCCTGATCAAATACTGACGTCGGCCACATCTCCTGGAGTGATTATTGGCTCTGGTCTTAGTTAAACTACAGCAGCACAGACACAGTTAAGAGCAAATATTCAAATATAGCATAACAAAATAGCGACAAGTCATTTACATCATTTAAGCAAATTGTAAGCAAATATGTTTTTCCACTTACTGGAATAAAAACAGCGGATTCCTAAATATCTAGGAGAGGAAACACAATTTGAAGAATCTATTGCTTTAGTTGTTTTTAGTGTCATGGCTAATACTCCATGTTTCACATCATCATATGTCATAATATGTGTGTGAATGTGTCCACATTTATAGGGATGCAGCTAACAGTTATTATCTTTCTGTCAATCAATCTTTGAATCTAATCTTTTGATTAATCGAATCTACATACACACACACACACACTGTAAGAGCGTACACACACAGAGTAAGAGCTGAACAATACAAGCTATACTATCCTCCACCTCTTTGGTAACAACACAGCTGATTTCCATTTTCTCCATCCTTCCCATTTTAACACTTCCAAATCCTTCTTTGAGAATGAGAGACGCCTGAGAGAACGACATGGCTGCAGTGTGTCAATTCAGACAAGTGAAAATCAATAAATCTGACTGCAAAAACAGTATGAGCAAATGGGGATTTACATTTGATACAACAGCAGCTGGACATCTTTCACCCACCCTTCTATTCTTTGCCTTTGCAGGGAGCTGCACAGTAAAACTACACCAGCACCAACCTCACTTTGTTTCACTGATCTTTCTGATTGTTCCGCATTAAAATAACCGAGAAAAGGGCGTTAACTAATTACAGATTAATCTGAAGATTGTTCTCTTGATTTATTAGTCAATTTGTCGATAAAACGTCGAAAAAGTGTGGAAAAAATTCATCAGATTCAAACAGGTGTCGTGTGTCATCTATAATTCTACCTCCTTCTTTCCTCAAACAACAAGAGGCTTTAATTCTTTAAAAGAGCTATAACGTAGCTGCCACACACAGACAGCTCAGGCTGCACGATGACTGCGCTCAAAAAGGGGGATTAAAGTTGTTGTGAAGTTCCATGACGCTGCATGATGATACATTATATTCTTTTTACATTATCAAGCATTTCCACCAACACAGTACTCTCCTTTATCACTTGTTAAACCTTGAACTCATCCCTCACCCACCTATGTTTTGGGTCGCTGTGGTGTGGATTTTCAAGTCTATTTTTCTCTCTTCTTCAGATTTCAGATTTAATTTATTTGCGGTTTTGTGTCTGACAGGAGTAAGACTATGGCCTGTGCACCATCTATGCTCTGTTCTGCTTTTTTCTACCACCTTTTTCTCATTTCCTTTCCCTTGGCTTGACAGCAAACCAAAGATAACCTCTAATAAACTAGTCATTTCATCTTTATGCTTCTCTCTCTCTCTCACTGTCTTTTCTTCCAGTCCCTCAGAGGATTTTTTCCTTGTAGATTAACAGGATGACTTTGTCTTCCTGGTTTCTACCCTTTTCCTCTTTCCTGCTCATCCCTCTTTTGCAGCCATTCCTCTGACTTAATCTCCCCTATATCTCTCTTTCTCTTATTCATCTCCCGTTTCTGTGTCTCTCCTCGCCATTAGGGAACAGTGGATTACCTCCAGTGAACTGCGGTAGTGCTGTGATTAGCAGCAGTAGTGAAGATGACAGGGGGAATCATCTGAACCTATCTGACTGCAGAAAAAGACCATCGCTCTTGGTATTACACAAGTGGCTTTGATCACAGGGATGAGTGCCATCATCTGCTGATCCAGTGTGTGTGTGTGTGTGTGTGTGTGTGTGTGTGTGCGCCGTGCACAGGCTTAGCTTTAAAACAAGTGGGCTAACAGCACTGTCAAAACAAACTGTTGTATGAATTTTACAACAACAAGATTTGTTATAATGCTTCTACCACGTCAATTCAGCCCAGGTTTTTATTTCCTCTGTTGTCTCTAAGTGCTAATGCCACCCAACTGCCAACCAGAGCAGCTTTAATCAATTCACTGCCATCAGCGGCAAATGATGCTTTTCAACTCTCTCCCTTTTAAATGAGATTTGCAATAGAAAAGAGGCACCGGCCTGCTGTATTCAGTGGCAGGAGGCTCCTTCAGCTCTCTCAAGCCGCCTGTCTGATGTCCTTGCGTGTGCGCGTGCGTCCCCGTGTACATGTGCAACTCCAGTGTTGGATGCAGCAGATGCTTTAGCAGAGGGGAGCCACACATCAGCCTAGATAATTCTTCCATTAGCATATCAGCATCCCCTTTTTTTCTCAGTCCCTCCCTCCCTCTCTCTCCCTCACACCACCCACCCCCCCTTTACTCACGCTGTCAGAGGCTGATGATTTGCAATTACACAGCATGTGTCAGTACAACTAAACATCATTTTATATCTCCAAGCTGACAGTAGGCTACATGACTGAGCAAGCAGAGAGTCACAATAAAAAAGTAGCATGTTTTCTGTCCTGGAGCCAAATTTGCAGTCATATTAAAAAAAAACATAACATCTATCCATATTAACTGTAAGGGCATATTAAATATTCTACAATATACCTATCCTACCTACTGTTGGACACCACTGTATGCCACACATACTGATAACATATAGCAATATAAAGCCCTTATAGAATTACCATAAGAAAGTGTAGCCTATTCTAGTATTAGTAAAGAGGATTAAAGGTATGGTTAAGTCTCTGCAAGCACACTATTGCTCACTACAGACAACACATTACCTCCCATTAAAAACATTACATGTATATTTCTCACTATTTCTTCTTAGGTGCAAAAGCCCATGAAGGAAGCAAGGAAGGAAGCAAGGAAGGAAGCAAGGAAGGAAAAAGCTTTAAAAAACTCCTTCATAGTAAAACCAGGCAATTATTAATGTACAATCCCTTGAACACATCTTTGAGAACTTGTAAATTGATTGTTGTTTTAAAATGCTTGTAATAAACTTATAATTTTTGTTGTTTTGTTGTTGTTGTAGTCTACCACTACAATATTCAATTTAACTTATCACAGAAATTAAATTGTATTTTCAGACAAAAGCAGGCTAACCTTAAAGTGAAGCCACTACAGAAGCAGACTACTACAGCAATGAGCCTCGTGTTGTCATTTTACTTACGAAAGGCGGTGCAACTCCTCTGAAGCTTTAATCGAAACAAATCCTTTAATTGTGTTTGCCGGTGACTCTTAAAGTGATAAAGTGAGCGCACAAACACACACAGACTTCCTCATAACCCCCACACACACACACACACACACATGAAACACACTCACACAGGTAAGAAGATGCCCTGAACTGTACTACAGTTGTCCCCTCGTCTCTACTCTGCGCTGCACCGTTCGTACTCTGCGCGAGCTCCTCTCAACGATCACCTGCCATGTGATAGGCACGATGCGTTCAGGAGCGACCCGTAACTCCTACACTCATATCTCGTCCGCTCAAGTGCTCGTCATTAGATTCATATTGGACTGTTTTTTTTGTTTGTTTTTTTTTTTATATATATATTGATTTGAGATGTAGTGTACAATAATTCACAATAAAATGTTTGTGAATAAAATTAGGCGCCATGCAACTAAGCTAATTCATGAAAGATTACTTGTAAGAAGTAGCCTACTCAATAGACAGCAATGTTGAACATTTACATTTTGCTTATTCAATATTCCGTAGGCAGTAAATACTAGAAGTTAATCAGAATAATTAATAATTTGAGTTTGGAGACATAAAACTTTGTGCAAAAAAGTTGTTCTTTACTTTGACTACCTTACAACCTCCCATATATTTTCCTGCAGCTCAGGAAAAATTAAGTGATGGCAAAGTAACTTTAGGCCCGTATCTCCACAGCAATATTGTGTGAACTATTATTTGTGATTATTATCTAATAAATACCACAGGCACCATGAGTATCTGATGGAAAATTACATTTTTTTAGTATCTCCAAGATGTTTTGGACATCTATTCTCTTTTGGTCTAAACCTCAACACTTTCAGAAAACTTACAAAACAGAACAAAAAAAGGATGGACAGAAAACATTTAGCAACAATTTACTAACATGGGAATGAAAATTGTATGAATTTTACTTTGACATCCTATTTTTTTACCATGACCCAGCACTGACATCTAGTGGCGAAACATATGTTTGCAAGAAACAGCACATATTTTCACCTCTTTTAACAAGTACAGTCCTTGTAGCTGTTTGTTTCTGATGTAACTGATTTTTGTCTGTCTGGGTATAATGAGAGGAATATGTGCTACAGTTGAACAACTATAATTGTTTGTAAGAGTGAGCAGTGTCAGGTTTTAATTGTATATGTGCTAATCAACCATTCAATAATTTGGATCAAGAGACCCAAAGTGCTTCATTAGCCAAATCAGGGTCAGCTGCTCTTACAAAACAAGCTTGCTACAAGATTTTCTCCAGGGAACAGGACAGACAAATATCAAATGGCTATGGAATCAGACCAGATTCAGATACATGTCAAGGTAAGCTGGTTTCTCCTTGTAATTGATTTTTTGATCAGTATTTGATTGTCAGTGCTGTGGAAGCTTAATTGAAAGAAAGAAAGAAAGAAAGAAAGAAAGAAAGAAAGAAAGAAAGAAAGGGTGGTAAAGGGAGATAAATGACAGGAAAAGCAAAATGCACTAACCCAAAGGAATACACTATAGCCTACTGAAATCATAAGGATTTTCATTAAGGAAAACTGATTTTGATATGTTGCAGCTTTTTAATATTTAGAGCCTCTGATTGTAATTTTGATGATTTACTTGCACTGTGCTTTTTGAAAATCAAATACTTGTTATAGTGCATCATATAGTGCATCTAGTGCATCATATATATATATAAAATCAGGTGAAACAGGAGGAACAGTACATCTAGTATAGAGCATCTAAATGTAGCCTGATAATTGGAGTTAAATGCAAAATGGGTGCAAGGAACAATTGCACAAACAGTTTTTGTCAGACAAACAAAAGCATCAGCGAGATAATGATCCTTCAAATGTTTTTTCACAAGAACATGACAACAACAGCACAACACTTTAGCACTCTTTCATTGTGTGGAATCCAGCTGTGCATTGAACAATTACTGGCCAAATCAGTCTCTGTCACCCCCTACTGTGAATCATCCAATGAAGACAAAGTGCCAAAAAATATTCAAATGTATCCTTGAATGCGACTTTAAATCACAATGACAGGAAACATAGAGGAGGATAATGTATCATATTGTACAATATCATATTGAATGATAGGGCCTCAAGGTGAGCTCTGCCTTATTGCCTGTCTTTTTCTATTTGTCTTCTTAGAGGAGCCTTGTATGAAAATGTACATTGTGCTGAAATTTGTGTTTAACCAAATTACCACAAACAGGAGTCAGTGGGGGTCCTCAACAATTTTTTTTGCCTCATGGCCCCCTAGTGGACTACTGTGACAATGTATTGTGTTCATCTTTGTTCCACTTTATTTCTCAGTTTCAAATGAGAGCATAAAAGGAAAAAAGAATCACATCTATCACATACAGTGTGTAGACATGACCTTTTATATCACAGGGTCAGATTACAGTATTTATTGTGTGTTTTTCTGTTTGTAAAGGAGTTAGAAATATGAGCAGCAAGAGGTGTAAATGTAGCCTATACAGTGTGGGCAACTATAGAATTTGATGCAATAGGGGTCCTACTTGTTTTCATGAATGTCTCCAGTTACACTAATCACTGTAACAAAACACTTTAACACTATAAATAATTTTCACAATGACAAGTTAACTTCACCTGCTTGTATATTGTAGGGACTTGAAAAATTAAAGGAAGAACAAGAATAAAGGAGTGAAGACACACACACACGCTAATAAATGCTTTTTTCCCCAAGTGGTTAATCTGACTGAGAAATCTTACAAAACAACACAATTTTAATAAATACATATACATTTTTAATAATTAGATTTTTAGGCCTTCATATTGAATGCCTCATAATGTCCACATTCAATATAAGTAAGTAAGTAGATCCGGGTACAACAGCATAATTTCATTTAAAGCATCAAAATACAGTATAGGGCAATTTAGCACCAGACCAGCTCATGTTGTAAGCCTACCTTCTAAATGGCTCGTAATGCAGTGTACACAAGTAGCCTCTGCATTCCGTTCTACCCCGGCTGTGATTGGCCACGTAGCACGTCCATCATATTTTCCCAGCGTGAACTTGCGTCTGATTGGCTGAAGGGACACCTACGGCAGTAGCACAAACGCCATTGGTTGAAAAACTAGGTTAGTGGTCCGACAGGCATGACGGTGAAGAGAAACTGGGTCACCGATTGAGATTCGTTTATGTCACAGTTGTGTGGGTTGCTATTACATATTACCCAGCGGCTTTCAATGGATGGACTACTCTCAGTGGACCTATTGTAAGTATACAACGAAAACAAGCCTGTGAGTTATCGATATTGCATCTCAGTGGCTTTGGTGGGGTTTAGTCCATGATGGATATCGTCGATGTTTTCCCAGCGCTGTGGTCATGTCAGTGTGGTTTTCTAGAGCAGGAGGAGGGACGTTAGCTCGCTGGCCAAGTCTTGACAGTTAGCGTTGCTTAGCTAGCAGCTGTATGCTAATATTAGGCAACGGGAATAAATGCTGTAATGGATAAAAGGTAGGGAAACCGCCCTCAGTATGCGACCCCAGCTTTAACTGTTGTTGGTATTTACCAGGTCTTTGAGGAAGCTAGTGCATAGCTTAGTGCCGGTCCGTGTTTAATGTTAGGCAAACGTCACCCAAGTGCGAGCGACTATGTGAACAGTGCTATCTAGTGCTAGCACTCTAGCTATGTAAACAGGCCTTGGTGGGTATGTAGCACACGGTTTCTTCGACAGCATCCAACCTGCTGCGCTAACTTCAAAGCCCACATCGCCTATTTCTTTAAACAAGACAGTAACGTGTGGGTGCAACCCATACTGAGACCCTAGCTTTACAGGCTCATGATGGGTTATGAAATATCGTGACACAGTGTTGGCATTGGCAGTGGAAATGTGGCGACCGCTCGGTTTCTGCAGTTTCCGCAGTGGTTCCCTAAAGATGATTATGATATTGGGCTGTGGGATTTAGTTAGGCACCATCGCTGTCTGTGGTGGATGATTTGCAGCCAAACTTTAGCTCAAGGAGCAAGGGGTTTTCCTGAGGAGGGTTCCTGGAGATCTCCAGGCGAATAAGGAGGTTGCTTTTTGTTGTTATTTTCTCTTCTGAGTCGTTCTGACCAACATGAGTCTTCACAGACTTTCCTTGTGGGTTCATGGTCTGTTGTGGATCTAAGTGGAGATCCTTGATGTGTGTGTTGTTTTTTTTTATAGTGATGGATTGGTAAATGTGCAACTTGTGTTTTGCAATGATTTTGTTCTCACTTCTGCTAAAATCTTTCTTATATGTCTACATCAACATTTGTGTTATTAGTAGTTTTCATGAAAAGAAAAACATCTGCTGTGAACTTCAGACTTGGACCGACAAGTGTTGTTATTTTTGCCCATATACAGGTAACCTACATTAGAGTTTATCAGTACTGATATGTTGACACAAAGGCATGTTGACAATTGAAGTGTATTGTGATGAGTCAGCAGGGCTGCAATTAACCACACTGATCATGAAGGCAAACAAACCAGTCACATCTCTGAGGAAACATGTCTATGAAAAAAAATTGTGCAAAGTTCAATGAGATTGAAAAAATCTAAGGGAAACATTAGGAAAAAGCAACTCTTTTTTTTTTAAGCAACTTCTTTACTGGTGGTCAGCTTGTCTGCCTCATAACGACTATGATAATGATTTTGTTTGTCTAATTTGGAAACTCGTCGAGTCATGCACAAAACACGCATTGCTCTCAATTAGGTTTTGATTACAATATTTGACTATTGTTTGATGTTGGGCTACCTAAAGCCAGGTGATTTCGACTGTCATTGTTACTTGGTTAAATGTAAATGTTTTCTTTTTCTGGTCTCTTAATGGCGACACTATGGGTACAAGAAATTATTTGCTGAATGTGTTAGACTTTTATTGCGTAATGAAATGAATGCCTCTTCCTGTCCTATCCACCTGATTGACATGATTATGTCTGAAAGTTTCCTCAAATTAGGAACACTGAGGTTTATTTATTTAAAATGTTGTGATTGATGTTTTCTTTCTGTATTGCTCAGCTCAGTGACTAGGTTAAACACATCCACACAGGTGTGTTTAATCATTCTGGTTCATTAGACTTTAACTTGCATATGTTGTTGTGAAGCTGTGCTGGAATTTACTTTACGCAACGAAAGCCAGCGTACTAGGGAATATACTGCTGTCAGACCAGGTTGTGCAAAGATTAATTTATTTGCAAGTGTAAACTCAGGGAGCTAGCATGGTTAGCTAACTAACAACAGCATTCCATAAGTTTTACATTTACAACTTAAATCAGACTGATCTTGCACAACACAAGTCGGACAGGATCAGCTATTGACAGGAAGTGGACATGTCTTGTGGCTGCCTCAATGAGATGAAAGGGGAATTTTATGAGACTGCATGTTAGGAATAGTAATTGTCCTGTCAGCCTTGCCCTAACATGAGAGCCAGCGAGCTGTCAATTAAACACAGTTTGTACACAAAGTCTTGATGGGACTTCTAATCAAGTATGATAAGTGAAAACACCTGTGGTGATGTATCTAGGATTTGTTGGACCATGTTGTTATAAGTCCGTCTTAGGCTAATGCTTAAAATTGCCTTTTGTTTTATAGAAATACAAAATGGGCTATTTTGATTTTCTGATAGCTGTCTTTAAGGAAAAGTTTGATATTTTATTTATCATTTTGATTTATTTATGTTATCACGTCTGTCTGTCCTTCTGTCCCATTCTTTTGAACAAATATCTGTGTATAAACACGATATCTCAGTATTGCTTTGAGGGAATTTCTTAAAATGTGGTTTAAGCTTTCAATTGGAATCAAAGATGAACAGTTTAGATTTTGGTGGTCAAAGGTTGAAGGTCAAGGTTACTATGACCTCACAAACCCAATAGCTCAGGAATGCCTTGAGGGAACCCCTTCAAACTTAAGAGCACTTTGAGTGAATTTCTTCCAATTTTGCAAAAACATTTACTTGAACTCAAAGATGAAATGATTAGACTTTATTGGTCAAAGATCAAAAATCAATGTCACTATCACTGCCCAAAACACAATATTGGCCATTTCACAAAAAGAGAGCAGGTGGGTCTGTTACCTTCATCTCCGCCTCATATCCTGAAAGGTGGAGTTGGTTTTCAAGATGTACCCAGGTGGGTTTGCCGTCCTTCATCTTGAAGATCTGCTACACATTTCAAGCACTTCTTTTTTCACAGTTCTGCGTTGTGCCTCACTACTGATATCATTTTTTCAGATTTTAGTCGCACATCTAAGTTTCTTCTACAGATTTATTTTACAGGTTGATTTACTACTACAAACCTTGGAATTACTTGTGAACATCTCTTTGCATGCCTGAAATCTTACTGACCCTAATTTGAGCCCATAACACTTTCAACTGAGCCACTACTGGCATATGGAAAACTACTGGCTGCGTGCCTGCATCACTAGCTCTGATTGTGGTTGCTGAGGCACAGTTAGCTGCAGTGGAAGTGTTTGAAAGTGTAGCAGAAATTCCTCATTTGAGGGTTTAATGTTGATATAGTAACATTTTGCTGTGATAAACATAGTATCTATAGATACTATGTAAAGTAATAGACCTACATTTATCATTCATAAGTTGCCAATATCAGTACTATTAAGGGCTGTTCAGTGCATTTCACCTCCTCGTGGTCCAACACCTTCACCAGACTTGACGTGATGACGTCATTATACATGTGACAAAAGTCTACAAGTCTGTAAGGGTAGGCATTTGGATTCAGCCTCTGAGTTTGTGTGTGTGCATGATGAAGGAAAAAAGCCATCATCAATGGAGCTTTGATACTACGATTTAACATGGCAATGGGTAAATGAAGATAAGAGCCTCCCTTTTAATAAAGTATTAATGTATGGTGATGCACATTTATCTTTAAAAAAAACACAGCAGCAGCAGTTAAAGACCCTGAGTTTGAGTGGAGAAAAGAGTTAATAAATCAACACAATTACCTGAGCGTAGTCCGCTCATTTATTATTTAGCAGACTCAAATTTCCTTAATGGATGATAAAGTGCTGGAATCCTACTATATGTTACATTAAGTTTTCAAACATATTTACTCAGCTGTAACCTGATGGAGACAAAGAGCTGCTAGCAACAGAAGATAAATTCAAACAGATAACAAGTTTATTTATACACCTGTTAGTGCAACTTCATAGTCCATGCCAGTTATAGCTTGATTATTTTGGTGATTTGCAGCTGTCTGTTGAAATGGAGAGTAAGTCTTTTTTTTCTTTTTAAAAAATGGTTAGATTTAAATTTCCTTCTGTTTTTTTAAATATAGTCTAAGATGAGTGATGCTGAGTTCTGCCTGCTTGCAGAGAACTGCATGCCCCATTGCAAGAACGTGCACAACTCAAGCGGAACACAACCCGACATTGCAATGTTTTCTAAGGCTTGAAAACAATGTAGTATTCTTTTTCAGGTTTATCAATGATCATAAGTTATCTGAAGTCTATATTAATGTTCTGAGTGATTAGACTGAGAAGTAGCATTCTTGATATGCTTCATCTGAACATTTCTGAATGGAGTATCCCTTTTAATTTTGTGTTACTGTGATATAATACCATCTGTATATAGTGTAAAAAAATTTTACTGTGATATCAATTTTAGGTCATATCACCCACTCCTAATAGATCTGTGTGTTATGTATGTAAAACAGATTTTTCTTTATTTAAATACAGTGATTATTACCATGTGCAGGTGAACTGATTTCCAACCTGTCAGTTTTCTTTATGACAACTGAGTCACAATTTGAATGTGAGGACTGAGTTTGCTGTCTCTGTCCATATTGATGACTGACTGATCATAACAACAATAACATTAGTTAAGATAGGTTTCAAGTTACAAACTAATAGGCTACTATCCAACTAGGATTTTAAGCTTCTGATGATTTCTGGTGATGATTTTTAAGTGTTTAAAAAGCTCATACTTTGATTATTGGGTTCTACTTCTTGAAAAAGAATTTGCACTTAGTATTTTCCCTTTTCAAGGCCTTACACATTCATGGTACATCCAGACAGGTGCAACAATACCTCCATCTTTACACTAGGTTTTCTGGCCTCGCATAGAGCACTGTGATTCCCAACATGGCTTCAGCTAATTCAACCTGTCTAGAGGTTAAATCAGAAAGATTAACTGAAAGCACCTGTGAGGAAGTGCAGGGACTTTAAAGTTCCTAAGATATCAGGATGTTTTAAAGATGAGTAACATATTGCAGATTCCCTTGTACTGTGATACTGGTGCTGTGGGCAAAATATGCTGATTGTATCCCAGCTCAGCATACAGAGAACAGAAGCTGCAGTTACATTTCACATTTCGATTTGACTTCATAATGAACCCAACACTATTCATTTTGGTAATTCTTGCAGTGTGAAGCAAATCAGCTAATATAAACTGTGTATGTGAGTGGGTGTTGCTGTAATGTAAAGTGTGACTTCTGTTGTGGTTCATTCTATTTATCTTGTCTGCAGAGTTGAGCTGCAGTTTGTTGTAAATGTCAGTCTCAGGGTGTCACACTTGGCCATGAACTCAGGCAGTGTTTCCCACAGAATAAGATTCTATTTGTGGCCGTTGCTGAGGGGAATGGGTGGGGAATTTAATAATACTATATATAAGGTGCTTCACTGCAAATATTTTAGCTGACAGCGACTTTGTGACATATAGATAACTGAACCATAGTATATACAGCTTTACTGCTTCACGTTGTGTCAAACGAATAGCAACCCTCTCTGGGTCGGGTCAGTGCAGGTTGAATACATATTGTGATTAGCTATATAAGCCTAATCCTGGCACATGCATGCTGCTATGTGCACCCTGAATGACAGACACTCAGACAGGTCAGTAGAGAGACAGACAGGGATAGTAAAACCTTTATGGATACGGCGAGATTTCTCCTGGCGCCCCGGATGCCCGGTCTGACTGTGAGAGACAGGTTCATTGTTGATGTGTTTGTGAGACAGAGAAAGAGAGGAGCAAGGAGGGGCTGAGCAAATCAATACGCTGCACACAGCTCTACACTGAAATAAGATTTTACCAATTTGAAATGGTAAAAAAAAAATAGAAGATCAATATGTTGTTGATATTATGGCGGGCCGCTGCAAATAAATCACTGTATGGGAAACACTGACTCAGGTCTGAATGAATGTAGACTGCACTGAGGACAGCTAGGGACATTGGACCATGTACTTTGTATAGTGTGAACTGAAATGCAATGGGGATTGCACTAAACAACTGCTCAGTTAACTTTATAGTGTTGGTAAAGCAAATAAGACCCCATGAACTTGATGGTCACAAATTTAATAGAGTGGACCCACAACATTAGCATTCATTTGGTGTCATGTGTTTCTAACTACCTGACAAACAGAAGTCTAGTTGTTTGGGCCTGGTCATGTCGTTTACATTGGGTTTGTCCATGTGCTGGTGGAAACGAGGGTGATGAGAGCAAAAATGGCCAATTTCATGCTGAGACGATGAGTTGGTGAATGATGTTTTTAAAGTTTAGAAGTTTGATTACTATTTATTATTATCTCAAATTAACATATTTTCTGATTTGTTTTGTGTCATTACAAAATGAACATTTGGGTTTTGATTTTTACACCTTTAAACTGAAACAGCAAAGTAGTCAATAAAGGCTTGAGGAGCAGGTTTCATCAGAGGGTTTTTAGTGTAATACAATGTAATACAAAAACAAAAACTATCTCCTCCTCAGTGTTTTGTATTGATCATGCACTTGTCACTTTCAGTAGCAGTAATGTTAATAATGAAGTGGCTTCACCCAAGTGGTGTGGGCAGCCTTCAGTAGAGTGTGGTCAGCTTTGGCGTTAGAAACTGGCTCTACCACAAAAGGGCGAGTCAATTCAACTAGCATGACTACTTTTATGTGTTCTCTGCCAGCATCATTTCATGGCTTTGTAGCACAGCTCCTTGTACTCCCTTTCCACTTCTATCAAATTCATTTCCAATGAGTCAATCGGACATATATTTTTTTCTGTAGGGGATGGTGATTTGAAAAAAAATTAGAAGGAGACTTGATAGCTTGTTTTAAGTGCGATGTATGGTGCCAGCTTTAGTATGTGTAATACCTATAAGATAAGCACATTGTTTCCCTTTCTTAGGATCTAAACAATAACATAATATAACTGAAATGAAAAAACTACATTATATTATAGTAAATTAAGAAAAAATTATGGTAATATTAGAATTTAGCATTCTGCCAAGATAACTAACCAAAATTTAACAACTTGTAAACTGGAGAAAACAAGGGAAGGAGGTGTAACAGGTTTCTCAGGAACAACCTGGAGATCCCCTCCTTTCAGGTCCAACCACCATACACAGTGATGTTAAGACCGGACAACAAAACTGTGTGTAACAGTATCAGCATGGGTGCCACTGAAGGTTGAGTGATGTAGGCTGAATGTGTCCCTAGTGTCCCTCTGCCATGATTTGACACCCATCCTGTGTTTGTGTGTAAAATCTTCAGCGTTTCCATCACTGGTCAAGGTAGAAGTGTTTGTGATGTGGTAGATTGGTTGGCTGATTTGCTGCTTGGATGTATCCCTGCTTCCTGGCCATCTGAGTAGGTGTAGGAGTGTACAACAAGGAAACTAAGCTGAATGGCATGCTGACTCACTGATGAAGTAGAAGTAGGTGGTGGATGGAAATTGAGGCTGGCTGGTTTGAGACCATAGAGACTGGCTGACCCAGTTTTCACTCCAGCAACCAGTCCCTTTCAGTGTTCAATCATGACATAGTGGTTTTTCCCTCCTAGCCTAGAGCTTTGTCCCAGTAAAAGAGCTCACCGAGCCTGTCCTGACCTAGTAGTCTGCTGCCTGCTACTTCAACACTGCTCCTTGAGCTCTGCGTTTTGTTGTTGCTGCACATTAAACATTCAAGTGGTCCACCAAAGTGTTTCTTCTGAACCCTAATGGGAACTGGTCACAGTTTCAGACTGGTTTCTACTGAGATATCATTTGTTTTCTCCTTTTACAGTCAATGATTAAGAATGCAAGATTGTTTACTTGTATTTGTATTGATTAGCTGGTCTCTTGTTTGTCTGACTAACAAACTGATGCATGCACTTTATTTTTACTTCAACTACTATATTTTCATATTTTCATACATCTGGGGACAGACAGTAACACTCTGGAAAAAATCTCACACATTTTCAGATTAAACGAACAAATAGTTCAGGCAAATATGACTTTTACATGATTGACTCATTCATTAACACACACCAGATGTGAATTCACACAACAGTAAGCACAACTTAAAAAAATCTCTGTTCAGGAATAGCAAATCTGTTAAGGGTTATGTTTAGTAGCGGTGTCTTGCTTTTTTATTGTAATTACAAAGTTTACACTCCAGCAACTCCAGCCAACATTACCTGAGATTATGTTTTATCAGGCACATTGTAATTTTTCACCTCAATTTTCTCTTGTAACATTTGATGTGAAAACATATTTTAAAATTCGAATGAAACAAAGTAACTTAGGTATACAAGCCTCCAAACAAGGTTATGTTACAACAAACTATCTGATTCAGTATTTTTCCTTCTCATAATAACGTATTATTACATTTACTACTGATTACTATGAGAAGCCTGCTTTTGACTTCCTCATCTGAAATCAAGGATCCATTGTTTCAAAACTTTTGAGTAGTCACCGTGCCACTGTTATTGTAAACTGAATATGTGTCCTGCACAAACGGAAAATGTAACAGGCAGGAGCTTTTCAAATCATCAAGTAATGCCTACTCCGACTTCTCCATCGCTGATCCCAGATCCAGCTGAGCTGTCAGCAGCACTGTACCTGAGGTGCTGTTGGAGCCTCTAATGGGTTTCTAGTCTTCTCAGCAGTTTTCAAAAGTAAGACGACTAGAAAGCATAAAGGTTTAGGCTTAGTCTTCTAAGTTAGAACCACTTTAGGTTATAAGGTTATTTGATAAATGGACTGCACTTATACTATATATATAGCGGCTTTTTTACCTCAGTGGTTTACAAAGCACTTGCTGCCGTGCAAGGCACTGGCCTGTGCATCAGAAGCAGGGTTCTTGCCCAAGGACACTTCATGTGGACAGAAGGAGGAGCCGGGATTAAACTGAAAACTCAGAGATTAGTGGTTGACTCTCTACCTCCTAAGCCATAGCCGCCCATATACTATTTAAACCTTATTCACACGTTTCCAAAATCTAGGGTTGTTTTTGCCGTCATAATGTTCATGAATGGCAGTGCTAGTGAGTTACTACTAATAAAGAAATTGTTTGTTGAAGTGTTTAAGTCAATGAGCAATAACTGTGCAACTTGCAAGTGAAAACATGAAGCCTCAGGAAATGATCCATTTAGCACAGATTTGGTTATGACACATTTTAGGTCAGCAGTGATGCATAAAAGGAGTTTTTTTTTTTTTTTTTGTTTTTAATATTGCATAATTTGCTTTTGAGTTTTGTCATCTGCACCGAGTGGTTTCTACATGTGGTCTTGTTTGTATCTCTGATCTATTTTGTTTATGTGATAAGATTCAGAAGAATAGATTTGCACTTGACTGACAGTTTTCTCTTCATCTCTCTCTAGAAGTTGACGGTTTACACCAGCTGCTGAGGGATCAGATCATATTGGGGTAAACGGATCACATCAAACTGGATGAAACTAGGTGGGGCTGAATCAAAAGTAGACCAGATCTGAACTGATCCAGATCAGACTAATCCAGACCAGACTGATCCAGACGATACCAGGTCCATCCAGGAGGCCTGTTCCAGTTTCCAATCCAGGTAACAGTTCTTCATGTTCTCCAGCGTGTTCTCACTCATATTTATATGCATTAGTCTGGCTCGTGTGGGAACTGTCACAGAGTGGAATACATAAACAGACAAGAGATTTACATTTTTGGTACTTTTTCCTTCCTGCTTTACTGAGTTATAGGGCATGTAATGATAGCTTAGCTTTCCTGAAAACACATAATGTCCTGCAAATGAATTGGAGAGTTTGCAAGCTTTCAAACTAATGCCCACTGGGAGCTCTGTAAGTATGTTTCCATCTCCATTTTACATCCATCACTCTCAGTCTGACAAGCCATGAAACTTCATTGTAGTTAATCCCTGCTGCTGGCTAGTATTTACCAACACTGGCAAGTTGAGAGCTTTATGTTGATTCATCCATCAGACTGCAGTAAGGCAGCTAGCTCTGAAGCTTGTCATGTCAACAGTGTGTTGAGATTCAGTCGTTAGATTGATGTCGGCCACTGTGACTAAAGGCAAGTCTCATTAAGTAAGATCACAGACTCTTGAGTAGTGTCTCAGAAAGAGGTTAAAAAGTTGGTCGGATTAATTTATAGTTAGTTAATAGTGGTTAGTTAAAATACTTTTCTAGGCTTGAATTAGGGAACCTGAACACACAACACTTCACAACCACCTAAAGTAGTTTGGATAAAGGTAAAGTGGTGGACTTATTATGATTTTTGGTTTATTTTGGTTGTGAAAGATTGATGAAATTAAAGAGTCTACTGATGTCATCTGAAGCATTTCTATTTGATGATGAAGCCTGCTTGGTGGATTAACATTTGGGTAACTGACAGTGGGTTTTAAAGTCTGTGTTGATTACTTAGGGAGGACAGTAACTGGACGGGTGGGTTGGGTCTTAATTGACTTTTTGTAGAAGTGTCATGATGACTGTATGTGCGTGGGTGTTGTGGAGGAGGTTTTAATTTCTGTGGCTACTCTGTAAAATAGTAATGACGAAATATGACTGAAGGTTTGATATTTTTTAAAATTCATTTGATTGAAGACCATGTACGCCTGTCAAATGTTTATGCATGCTATGATTTTAGCACGTGTATTCTACTATATGATCATTGGAGGCCACGCATTTCACATATTTCAGTACAAGGCTCACAGTTATGGAGTTTACCCTCAGATTTAAAATCACAATAAGAGCTTAGTCTCAACTACACAAGTGAGACGATGCCTTAAACAACAACAAAGATTTGAACATTGAAGAACTTGGAGTGGATTGTTACTGTAGATTAACTTGTCAAAGTGAGAGTGGCGGCATCAGAAAAGGCTTTGAGTTCCAGGCTGAAAAATATTGTGCTCAAATGCACAAACATGCAGTAGGTAGTGAGGTAATTTATCTTCCCCAGTTCCCACGAACACTTTGATCAAACTATTGCATACACTGTTTCCCATAAAGTTGAAATAATTTTGTTTTCAGACACAATCCGATGTTTATATCTATTTAAATGCATCATTAATCACTTTTGACCAGGTGCAATGATTACATTATGTGTCCCAATTACCCAGGTGAAATGAAATAAATCACATTGTCACAATCATTTCATGGAAAGAGGTAAAAAAATATTTTATTCCAACTTTATGAGCAACAGTGCATTTACCTAGGCTGTCTAACGTCAGAGCGAGTGGTCATGCTAAGTGGCTAATGTCAGGCTACTTACATGTTTCAAACAATAAGTTGTGTTTGATATTGAATGTTTGCATTTCGCCTTCATGGGGGTTGTCCTCTACCCTCTCGAAATGATATCACACACACAAGCACACTGTAACAATGTTTATCTATGTGGTCCCCATTAAATAAACAGATGAATACATTAGATTTATCTCTTTCATGTAACTGATATGGTCTGACCTATATCTGCTTGAGAAATGATAACTGTGACATACACTATTTCTATGCATGCAGTTACAGAGACAGTAGTGGCTTCCTGTTTATTCTGCCTCCACATCTGACCTAGATGGCATGATGTTTTCCGCATGTGTCCAGGCAACTGTAACTGTGTATCAGTGTTTTTTTTCAGTGTTTTGAATTTTTCTTCAGTCTTTGCTCAGTTTCAGAATGACTCCTCTCACACTGGGACTGACAGTTGATTGTGAGAACATGATGTTTTTGTGTGTTCACAGTTGAGGGCTCAAGAGTGGATGGAAGGAGATGATTTTAACACAGAGGCAGTGATGAACATCTGTGGTGAGTGTGACTTCATGATGCTCCCTGCTTTCCAACAGCAGATGTTTTAATATTATCCTTTATTTCCTTCTGTTCACATATCAGCTGTCTAAAGTCTAAAAATGTACTCCCCCCGTGTGCACGCCTGAAACTCGCCTAACTGCTAATATTCCCACCAACACTGCTTTGACCTTTAACTCTTACAGAGATTTCTTGTCACAGAAACCTGCAGTCAGTAACATGACTAATGCTGCACAGGCCTCGGTTATTAGAAGATTATTTGCATATTCAAACACACACCCATTACAACCAGCAGCCCTTTGTGATTGTACTGCAGTGCTTTTAAGTCTTGCTCACTTAAGCATACTATGTTTAGAGTGACTGTCCTTTCTGTGTTATTTACATTTTGCCTCTGGTGATGTGCATTTTAATTAATATCCATGGAAACAGTCTGTACTGTGGAATTTTTACAACAAAGGTGCCTTGCTTGTGAGCCTCCAAATTGAACTATGCATTTTATTTCTCCTCCTAAATGCTCATGTACAAATACAGTTGTCGGTTTTTATAAAACACCTCTACCCCACCCATTTCTGAATAATAGAGGTGTTTGTATTTTCTCTGCAGATGACCTGATGGCAGACCAAAGGATGGACATCTCGTCTACAATGACCGACTTCATGTCCCCCGGGTCCACCGACCTCATCTCCAGCTCCATCAGCACGCCAGGCATGGACTACACCCGCAAGAGGAAGGGCAGCACCACCGACTACCAGTAAGAACACCAGGAAAAAAAAAAAAACAGACAGAAGTGGAAAAAAGAAGGAAGCGGGGAGAGAAATAATGACAGGAAACAAAGATAGGAAAGAAAAGAAAAATGGATTAAAGGCAACAAATGGCACAAAGGAAAGAAAAGACAGGGTGGAGGGAATGAATGGAGGAAGGAAGGAAAGCCGTGAGGGAAGAGGAAAGAGATGGAAAAAAAGAAATAATGAAGTTAAGAAAGATAATTATCACAATGAACAGAAACACATGCTGCATTTCTGGTCTTATTAACCTCATTACTGATTATGGAGAATCAGAATTTACACTCTATTGAATTTATGGCTCCTGTAATCATTAAGAATATGTCCCTATAAGAATATGTGTATTATTAAACACCGTGAGTCACGTGTTGCACTTGTTTTCTCATTTGTAATTCCCCAATCTAATGAATTAATTTGTGTTTCTTTGCAGAATCGATGGCTTCTCATTTGAGTAAGTTCAAACGACTTGATGTTTTTTGAAAGTTTAATTAATCAATCTGGAATACCAATGACACACAATTGATTTTTTATTTTATTTTATTTTTTTACATGAAATAATGAGTCGGCTGAAAAACAAAGCAGCTGAACCCACTGAACCCTTTCCTGAAGTGTGTAGAAACTAATATCTCCTGTCTTTTCCTCCTCAGTGACATGGACCCAGACAAAGATAAAATGGGGAGGTAAGAGACCATCATTACCACGGTGAAAAAGCCCGAGCTTTAATCTTTATTGAACATTTGTCCTTTTCCCTGCGGCTGAAATGAACCACTTTCCCTTTGAAATCAGTTAACTCGACTTAAAGTGTCAGTTCACCCAAATCATAATACACATTCTCTCTCACTTGCTTCTAGGGAAATCTAGGAAAGCAGACAGTTTTGGTTTTATTTATCTCTTGAAAGATGATGAGTGAAATTCACGTGTGTGGTCCAGGCCTGTTGCACATGTGGCATACAAGAGATGTTTGAAAATTATATGATTATATAATTATATTGATTTGTAAACGATGTGTGGAACATGTTGCCTCATACAAGAACTTGGGAGTGTCAGTTGTGGTAGTGATTGATTCTCAAGAACGTTGACTTCCTCCTGCATTGGTCACAGTAATCAGTTTGAAACAGTCCATTTGTGAGTGCTTGCTCGCTCTGATTAGGGACACTCGTCTGAACCAACCTCATGAAGAGAAGCAAGCCATGTTTAGAGTGAGGACACACAAATGTTCATGAATGAGGTCGTTGTGTCTGGAAAGAAATGCTGCTGTTGAATTTTGTGAATGTTGGTTAATGTGTCGGTTAATCACTTGGTCATTTTTAATCCACTGTGAAATTCTAATGTCTAAGAAACTGAACAAAGGGGGAGGCAGAGCACAAACATAAATTCTCAGTGGATATCAGTATATTTTTATAGTCATTTGCATTTGAAGGAATATTTTCTTGTTGTAGTGCCGATGGTTTGGGTGTAAATTCAGCTCAATTTTTCACTTTTACATAACTGTACGAATGAGGAAGAATGTGAAACAGTTTAATCACCACTACGTCATATTCGTATTACATCAGTCATCAGATCGTACAGTCAGATATAACCCCAGAGCATTACGCTTGTTGCATAAGCTTTGATGCTGTTTAAACCAATAAATGAGGTTGGTTACAGAACCTGTGAGGTTGGCTGTGGCCCCATTCCCTCCCTCCCTCCCTTTATCCACCCTCTCCCTCCTGTCCCATTAATTTAAACCTCACAGCCCTGAAGTTTATTTTCCACTCTGAATCATTTTTGTCAGTTTCCCCTTTCTCTAATGTTTCTCTGTTTGTCTTTCCAGTGACCAACAGGGCCGGATTAAGAATGCCAGGTATAAAAACTCCTCTTGGCTCTCTCTCGCTCTGTCATTCCCCTCCTGCTTCCTAATCTCTCATACATGAATTAAATGTCACTCTGTCTGATTGGGGACAGAGAGAGCTTTGTGTATGTCGATAATAAGAAACTTTATACATTTACAAGTGTGTAGATCCGAGCATTATGTGGAACTAAGGGACTTTAAAAGTCAACCTAATGGCTAATGACAAGCTCTCTTTCTCTTTCATGCCAGTGTAGCTAGGTTGAAGTGAAGTCAGCACAGAGGAGATGGATAGATGTGATCTTCCAGTCCTTAAGGATAGAGTGTTTTCTTAGCATCAGGCTAGCTGATTTATATCATTGTCAGATAGGACTATGAGGTGATGGATAATCTGCATTGCAAGAACACAGCCCATTGAAGGACAACTTGCCTGATCTTGCATTCCTTCTTTAGGATTCAGTCTCTTTATAGAGCAGGTAAAATGCAGCCAAGGGGATTATTGTACATATTTACTTTGGACTTATGCCAGCACTGTGGGGGAAAAAGTCTGCAGTCACAGTCTGCTCATGTGTGTGGTGGTGCTTCTCTCTCCACAGAGAGGCTCACAGCCAGATCGAGAAGCGTCGCAGGGACAAGATGAACAGCTTCATCGACGAGCTGGCGTCACTGGTGCCCACCTGCAACGCCATGTCACGCAAGCTGGACAAGCTGACGGTGCTGCGAATGGCCGTCCAGCACATGAAGACACTCAGAGGTTAGGATCAGCGAGTAACGAATACGCTGAATGTTGGGAAGATGGCTCAGTGTATGAAGGGAAAGTGAAGCTCTGGATGGTGATGTAAACTAGTGAGTGATAGTGATTGGCTGAAAATAATACTGTACTTTCACATACTGTGCACAACTGTCAAAAGGGCCGTGAGGGATGTAGTAATTCTCACAGATAGAATTGCAGCAATTTCGACACAGCTGAAGGTGAATGAAGGTTTGATCAGATATCGAGCTGCAACAGTTAGTCGATTAATTGAGTAGTTGATTGACAAAAAATATACCTGATGTTTCTCAAACAAAAATATGAAACTTTCATTCATTGGGTCTAGCTTCAGTTTTCTGTGTCTTTGTCTTGTATGATGTAAACTGAATATATTTGGGTTTTAAGAACCTGTGATGGACATTTTTTCACTATGCTATCAGATTTTACTGACAAAATGATTCATTAAGAAAATAGCTGGCAGATTAATTGATAATGCAAATACTCATTAGTTGATGCCCACGCCAGAGACTGAGCAGGACGTGTTAGTTTAGAGGGGATGTATAATAACGCAGCATAAACTTCTCTATCGTTTGTTTTGTCTTGACTTTTAAGCAACATGTTTGAGCAGTTGAAAAGATGAAGCGTTGATGCTTAGTCCCAAAAAAATGATTGATTAGGTACTGATCAACAATTCTTTTGGCCAATAAAACTTTGATAAAATTTCATCATTGTTTAGGTGATACAAAAATAGCTCCTTTTATAACTTTGACAGAATGAGGGACACAAACCGTGTGACGTCAGAAAGACGTTGGATCCTAAAAACTTTTAACATTGAACAGATGTTAGATTTCAGTTGGAAATGAGGTCAAAACCCAACATTGACTAATTGACATTATGATCTGTAAGCAGATGTTGGGTTTTGCTTATAACTAGAATTTGGAATTAATTTGGATTAACATCACAACTTAAAACCAACAAAATGTGAAGGTCAGCTGTCGTCAGTGTTCTACGTAAAATTAACCTTTTGATTTCTGCTCAATGGATTTTGGTCACCTGACGTCACAACCTACATTTAACCAAATGTCAAACGTGTCGGTGGCCAGCTGCGTGCGTGCGTGCACAGCGAAGACCTACAGATCTGAGTGGTGTGTTTACTGTTACTGCAGGTGCAGCCAACCCATACACAGAGGCCAACTACAAGCCTTCCTTCCTCTCAGATGATGAACTGAAGCACTTGATACTAAGGGTGAGTGCAGAACCAAGGACTGGAAATCTAACACTTCTGATATGGGGTCCAGGATGCATCGCTAAGTAATGTAGATGGACAGTATAGCTCAATATTTAATCCACCATGCAGTCTAATCTACTCTGTCCACCATTAGTTTTCATCATTAATTGCAAGTTTTATCTGCCAATTAAATATTCAAAACCTCAAGCTAAGCTAAGTGTTTTCTAATATTGGCCCAAAAATAGCCATTTCCATATTTTGAGTTATTTTATTTATGAAGAAACTACATTATTAAAACGCCCATATTTATTCCAGTGTTTTCTGTGTTTGATGGTGCAGGCTGCTGACGGTTTCCTGTTTGTGGTTGGGTGTGATCGTGGGAAGATTCTCTTTGTTTCTGAATCCGTCTACAAAATTCTCAACTACAGCCAGGTACGCCGACAGAGCATCACACGAACGACAAACGCGTCTTTTTACCATTCATTTACTTCAGCCATTTTCAGTAATTGTTGAACCCACTCAACCATGAAAGACTTGTAGTATGCTTTATAATTGAAAGACTTCCTGTGCTGTGTCACACGCTCTGTAAATTATACAGTAGCTCATAGTGTCGCCTTGTATTTCTTAAGACGGAGTTTGAAAAACCAACAGTATCTCTTCACCGTGAGGAATTTAATTCAAGCAGCAGATCATCACAACTTTCTTTTACATGAGTTGGAAAGTCTGCCGTCTCAGCAGTTCTGTTCCAGATAAAAGTTCCACATCAAATAATTTAAATAATCTCAGCACTGATTTAGAGTTAATTAGTTGTTGCTTGGATTTGTTTGTGGAAGTTGACTCTGTAAGTAAGCCATTAGTTCTACATTTGTTCACACTGTTTCTACGTTCCCTTCCTCCCTCTGTTCTCATCCGTCCCGCCGTCTCTAGAACGACCTGATAGGCCAGAGCCTGTTTGACTACCTTCACCCCAAGGACATCGCCAAGGTCAAAGAGCAGCTGTCCTCTTCCGACACGGCCCCACGAGAGAGGCTCATTGATGCTAAAAGTAAGAAAACCCAAACACACATCAGCTGTTCTGTAAATTCAGGACTCTGGTTCATATTGATCTCTTGTTTTTTTCCCTCCACCTTATGACAACAGTAAAATTATTTAGTGTGAATTTCAGCACAAGGTCGTATTTGTCTATAGGAGTAAAGCTTTATATCTGTTTATCTGTGTCGATAAAGATTCAGCTTCTGGGGCCAGCAACTAAGACATAATGTATCACAAAGCATAGGAAGATTTTATGTTTCCTCTGAGTTACATGAGCCTTTATTTTGTAATTTGGCAAAAGGAATTTTACAAAAGAAGAGATTGAAGTCTGCAAGTCTTCAAGGCAAAACTGGTATATTTTAAGAGTGCAGACAATGGAAGAATAATGTGTGAATCATCATCATCATTCAACACATAAAATCGATGCATCATGAAGAAATAATAATTGAATTTCACCACAGGAGTGTCTGACTGATGGGCAGATTATCAGAATGCATTTCCCAGATGTTTTTTAGTCTGTTTGGAACAATGGCTTCCAACATTGCAGACAGTAAAAATAATGTTTTGAAAGCTTCTGCACTGGACAATCACATTAAAGAAAAAAAAAAATAAATGAAATATATCTGTTTGTATTTGCAGCCGGTCTTCCAGTCAAGACAGACATCACCCCCGGCCCATCTAGACTCTGTTCTGGAGCCAGACGGTCGTTTTTCTGCCGGATGAAGTGCAACAGGCCTTCTGTCAAAGTAGAAGATAAAGACTTTCCCTCCACCTGCTCGAAGAAAAAAGGTGCAGTACTGCTCTCTCGAACACTTGGAGAAGACTACTACAACTGGAATTGTCCTCAAATAATAAATGTCGCGCAAATCCTGAAAAATGCAAAAGCTTTCTATCAGAGCAGTCCTTGAAGAAGCTGCTCTGTGCTGCTCAAAGCATCATCCCCATCAGTTTTCTTCTTTCAGAGCCAGTGAAGAGCTTTTTACTCTCAGTTAACCTTCAACTTTTACTCCTAATACTGAAAACACTTCAGTTACTTTTTTTTTTATAAAAGCAAAAGCCCTTATTTCCTGGTGTTTCTGTTGCAGAGGCACATCCGTATTAGAAAGAGGAATCACAGCTCAGTTAGCACAAGAACTTTTCCATTACACAACCAAGGAAGTCAGCCTCTTTAAGTGCATGATTTTATTTGCTTTATTTATATGATGATGTGGGTCGATTGTCCAGACTGCAACTCAACCTCATGTTGTGAATATTGATGAAAAGGCAGAAACGGGAAAAGAAAAAAGGTTAAAAAAAAACATGGAGATACAAGCACAACACTGTTTGAGGATCCTTCTCACTTTCAGAGTGATAAGGGGGAAAATCCCCATGCTCAGGTTCTGATACGCATATGCGTTACCATGGTTACCACATTGTCATGCATAAATATGTAAGCCGCTTACACCGATTGCTTGTGAGTTTGCTTCCTTGACAGTTCATGATCAGCGGATGCAGCTTCGCCTTCAATTCAAGCTAAAATCACACACCGGCTCTCATAAAATCCTGTGGTCGGTGCGTTTGCTTTCACACCACATCCCAACTGGTTGGAAGTGGACCGGCGATCATCGTTTCAGGTGGTCTCGGTCCAGTTCTTTAATCCACACCAGTTCAATTCACACAGGAACTGGTGCTAACTAAGTAAACGTGGCAGAATTAATTTTACCAAAGCAAACAAGTCAAGTGTGAAAGCACTCTGAATCAGTGTTGCACACAATGATTTCAGCAGTGTTATAAAATGTAGAAAAGGCCAGAGCCCCACTTTGAGGCCTTTGATCCTTCGGTCCTGAATATGACTGTCATGACGCCCATGTCTTTGTAGCCGGCAAGAGTCTTTTTATTCTTGATTTAGGAATTTTCACCCACATTTTCTTGCAGATCGCAGTTCTCAGATATTTTTAGGTTGTATAGTGAAAGCAGCAGCTGCAGTCCTCAAAGGACGTGTTCAGGCACAGTAATGCTGTCATCCACATTTGAGTGTTGAACCAGTGTTGAAAAAGCCTGGGAAATGTCTGACTCTGTCTATAATTGTTGAAATGAGATTAAACTAGCGTCCCTGAAAAGTTCCCTTATTCAGTGTAATTGAACTTGGATCATTTAGTGTCCTAATCTTAATCCTTGGACTGTGAAGAGAGAAATTGAATGTTATCCAGCCAGAGCGTTTTCTCAGTGACTTCCTGTTATGATTGATGTGAGAAAAATTCAAGGCGTGCTGTTTACATCTCCTCCAGGGCAGAAACACATAACTAATCATGGTTGTTGATTTTCTTGTTTAGTGGATTATTTTTAAATGAACAGTTTTGCGATCACAAGGTCGAATGCAGATTATGTATAAAGTCCTAAAATATGAAAATGAATTAAACGTCTTAAAAAGTATTTTTGTCTAAAAAAAAAAAAAAAAAAAAATTTATTTTTATTATGTAGTATTTAGATATAAACCAACCCGTCAGATTCAGTCAGCTCAACTGTCAGAATCTCCCATCATCCCTCTGAGACGATCGTTGCTTGTTTCCAGTCATAACCTTCAGCACGCCCTCTCTCTCCCTCTGTTTACAGCGGACCGTAAGAGCTTCTGCACCATCCACAGCACAGGCTACCTGAAGAGCTGGCCTCCCACCAAGATGGGTCTCGATGAGGACAACGAGCCCGACAACGAGGGCTGCAACCTGAGCTGCCTGGTGGCCATCGGCCGCCTTCACCCCCACATTTTCCCCCAGCCCAGTCTGGCAGACATCAGGGTGAAGCCCACAGAGTACGTCTCCCGGCACGCAATCGATGGCAAGTTCGTCTTCGTCGACCAGAGGTGAGACGCAGTTCAGTGTGGGGGAGGGTTTAACAAGGTGGTACTTTATCTGTGATTTATTTGATAGGACTTAATTCAACATGGAGGCTACCTGTGTTATTTTTGAATCTGTGATGTGTGGTGGTGTTGATTTGATTTTCACCGCTCCTCCATAAAACTGTGTCAGGATCTAAACTAATAAAAAATCTGATCTTGTCGCAACATCACAGTAGACCACAAACCCCATATTGAATTTTCACACAAACTGATTTTAAATTTGGACTGTAGGACATTAAGACAAGAAGCTTTCAGGTGAGACCTGTGACAGTTCAGTTAATGGATGACTTTCATTTCTTCTGGCATTAGATTTATGCAGAGAATCAAAAGCTAATGGATCAGATTGAGTTTTAGTTCTACAATTCACTGCACTGCACCTTAATATCACAATATCCAGTATTTTGTCACAGTATTCTGTTTAGTTGCACCTGTACAAATGTATCGCTTGTGATTATAATTTGCTTTGATGAGTTTTAGTTTTGCCAAAATTGTGAGGTTTTGTTGAAAATGGTCAGATTTAAATGAGTTGACATGAAGAGTGTGTGGGGATCATATTGAGGTGTTTGAAGTGCTGGATACTCTCTAGTTCAACACATACTTACCTAAAGCATTAATCGGCTTTGCGAAAGCAACAATGGTTTTTTGCTGCAGATCAATACTTTAAGAACTTCTTGGCTTTCTTTCTTTCACGCTGTCATGGTTGTGAGGAGCCACACAGCAACATCTGCAAGTAAACACGACCTCTCTGTGTCTGTTTGTGTCTCTAGAGCCACAGCCATCCTCGCGTACCTGCCCCAGGAGCTGCTGGGAACCTCCTTCTATGAGTATTTCCACCAGGACGACATCAGCCACCTGGCAGAGTGCCACAGACAAGGTAGATAACTGAAAGAGAAATAGAAAAGAGAATGACTGAGTGGTGTTTTCTGTGAGTTTTTTTTTTTTTTTTTGTACTTACTGTGTTAACCGCTCTGCTCCTAGTGCTTCAGATGAGAGAGAAGATCAACACCAACTGTTACAAATTCAAGATCAAAGACGGCTCCTTCATCACGCTGAGGAGCCGATGGTTCAGCTTCATGAACCCCTGGACCAAGGAGGTGGAGTACATCGTCTCCACCAACACTGTTGTCTCGTGAGTACCAGCAGACACAAAAACACACACCTCTGAAAGTGATTTATTTCAGTTGAGTTGAGTTTAATCTGTACAAACTCGGTGGTGAAATATCTGAACGTTTCCACCTGTGCTTTTCTCTCCAGGTGTCCTATGATGGAAGGATTGGACTACCCTCAATCTGCTGCCTCACCACAGAGTATGGACAGTGTTCTCACCTCGGAGGGTAAATCACTCCGTAAAACTTAAAAAATAAAAATAAAAAGTGTCTCGCCATTAAGTTTGGCTGATTTCTCAAAAAACAAAAGAAAAAGACAGCGTATGTCATTCATCCCCTGCTGTGAATCACTTCTTCTTCACAATGAATAAAAATCTCCTTTTCCTGATTGCTGTGTGATTGGTAGGTGGGGGGAGGCGGGCGCTGCAGACGGTACCTGGCATCCCAGGTGGCACAAGAGCAGGAGCCGGCAAGATTGGACGCATGATTGCAGAAGAAGTGATGGAGATCCAGAGGTGAGAGAGAGATGAAATCTGTGTATTTCAATCTTAAAAACCGTTCAAGCTGCAGAAGTGTGTTGCTCCAGGACCGGACAATCCCCCCGTGGCCTAGTTTTGAATGTAGATTGTTGTGATAAAGGTGACACATAGAGGGTGTCAGGGCAGGATTTAGCAGATATCAGAAGCCAGCTGTGCACATGCAGGACTTGACCTCTTACAGAATATTTCACATTTTATTTATTATGTATTAATTTCTGATCATTTAAGGCAATAAAATGAAGAAGCTCTTTACAGTTTAAAATAGGACAGTGTGTTCACACTGCAGGCTCTCTGCTCAGGGTTGAATCCAGGCTAATGGTGACTCATATAGCTACTGTGCTGCCAAAATTACACCAGTTGTGTCCGCTGATAGATTTAATATGTTATTGTCATGGCAACGCTGACAAATTCCAGTGCAAATGTTAAAAATGTGTTGCATGTGGGTCACTTATCTTTGGATGTGGATGTTAGTAGCTCTTCTGCAGGTTGGAATGAAAACAGTGGCAGGTTTTTCTGCAGTTCCTGCTGCTGATGAGGAGATCAGATGTGAATATGAAATGTATTTCAGAATCATTGCAACCATCTGTCTCTCTCCCTCCCTCTCTCTCAGGATTCGAGGGTCCTCCCCCTCCAGCTGTGGCTCTAGCCCTCTGAACATCACCAGCACCCCTCCACCCGACACCTGCTCCCCTGGGGGCAAGAAGGTAACACACACACACACACACGTCTTACTTCATAAGGTCACGGTTTCATAGCTTCTCATCACATCTGACTTCAGTATCTGAAGTTGTAGTTTTTATTCCCCTCTTGTTGACTGAGAAGGCAGAAACACTGCAGTGTGAGTGGCAGCCTCATTAAAATGAGATCGGCTGCAGAAGAGATAAAATGTTGTTTAAATATATGGAATAGTATATACGTAGCTTACTTCCTTTGCACACCTTGTGTTGTCACGAACAACTTCAGCATCAAATACGAGCAGCAGATCATAAAAATCCATTTTGTTTAATGGTAATTTCAACTGATGAGATGTGATCAGCTGCATCTTTTTTTTTGCTGACTTTAAACTAAGTAAAAACTTGATTAGCGACAGGTTGTTATTTTAAAGTGGCAATAGACAATGGTGTTATTATTCAAACATTAACTTCATAACGATAAGTTAAAACAAAAAAAGTCTATCGTCACTTTGATCAGTGTAAACCATGATCAGTGCTGGTAACTCTACTCGTTGGTGGAAGCTGCAGCAGCTTCAGATCTCGGTCAGTGTCTACACAGGATTTGCTGCGGCGCAGTGCTGCACGTACAGTGGCATCAGACATTATTCAGACCCCGTCACTTTCTGCATATTTTATTGTGTTGTAGATTTCATTTCAAATGGATGAAATTTCAGTCTAGACTCAATAATCCGTGATCACAAAGTGAAAAGGACGACAGCTCTGCATCAGTCAGGCCTTTATGGCTAGACAGAGGCCACTTTGAGTAAAAGCCATATGACGGCCTGCTCGGAGTGTGCCAGGCAACATTTGGAGGACTCTGAGATTCTCTGGTCTGTTGAGACAGTGATTGCATCTTTGAGCAGAACTCCAAACACTTGACTGGCTTCAGGACAAGTCTCTGTCCTTGATAACACGGCCAAAACTAAGAGTTAGACCCCATAGAACATCTGTGGAGGGACCTGAAGGTGTCAGTTCACAGACACTTCCCATCCAGTCTGCCAGGAATAATGGGATAAACTGTCCAGATCCAGGTGTGGAAAGGTTATATAGACTTTCCCAAGAAGATTCAAAGCTGTAGCTGCTGCCAAAAGGGGCTTCTATAAAGTAATGGATTAAGTACACACAATAAAATGTGCAAAAACCACTGTAGATCATCGGGGCTTTGCTGTAGCTGTGCATGGAAAACAGAAGTAAGTAGACTTGAAGTCTAAACAAACGCTTCTGGTTACAGCTACACGTGTGACGCAACCAGTGAAACATGAACCATTACCTGACCTGTGTAGGGATCTGTACAAGAGAAGCACACCTGGTTTGTGAGGAACATGTGAGCTGGACAACTAAAAGTACAGCACCCTGCCAACAACGTGTTGCATTTTATAGATGTGAAAATTCCAGATGTGCAGCTCTAAACCCGTCAGTAATGATGAAAAAAAACGATGATTTCTGCCTGCTGTTGAATGTGACATATATAGGAAGTAGCGAATAATGCCAATATAGAAAATAAGCTTAACGGTATGAGATTTATCAGATTCAAAGCTTAGAAAATCTGGGTATTTAGCTGAAGGGGAACTCCTATAGTTTAGTGTCAGTAGATCTTTGGATAAAAGTGGATCTGTGTCTTTCTCCACTAACTGGGTCAACAACAGTGACTTGTTTCTACTTCAGTGGGACTCAGTTGCACTACTTTACTATTTTTGCACTTATGCGTCACACCAGGGAACGATATGCAAAGAAAATCATATTATGTGGGAATGGTATATTTTTTTTAAATTAGATTTCTGTGAAATTTAGAATATATAATGATGAGCATGTGATGTTTGCTGAAGAATGTTCTCTTACATCTGGAGCATATGATTTGTGTCTGTTGTTGTTGTTGTTGTTGTGACACATTTCACCTTTTTATCAAAAAATTGCATCTCTTGCAGTTTTGATATTGCTTTGATTTGATGATATTTCAATTAATTGTTGAGCCCTAATTCACATGTTTTCACCAGTTCATGTAAGTTGTCAAAGTTACAGTAAAGAACTTTATTTCATTTCCTTAGTTTCTCATTTTATTTTAGTTTATTTAAATAAATGTTAAATTCAAATTCATATAGATTTATAAGATTTAAAGACAAAAAAAACAACAAAACACATTAATACAACAAATTTATAATTAATGTAAAATTTGAAAAAGAAACTCTCCAACCTGTTTCTCCTGCTGCTGTAACGTGTGAATTTCCTCTGTGGGAATCAGTCGATCAGTAGATCGTATTAGTAAAACGATTTTCTACCTTTTTTTTTTTTTTTTTTTTTTTGTTTATAATTCTCAGAAATAAACAGTTCGTAATGTTGAGGATGATCCACATGTGACCCTGACATGTGTTTCCCATGAGCCTCGGCGTCTGTTCTTTGTGGACAAACAAAGATAATGAAAGACTGAATGGAAATATTTTCAGCTCAGGGTGAAACGGATCCGTTTTCACAGTAAACTGATATATATGTGTGTGTGTGTGTGTGTGTGTGTGTGTGTGTGTGTGTGTGTGTGTGTGTGTGTGTGACCTCGGTAGATTCAGAACGGAGGGACACCCGAGCTGCCGAGCACAGGGATCATTCCTGGCCCTGATTCTGTCGGCTACCCCTACTCCAACCAGTCCATCATGAGTGAGTTAGAGACGAACACTAAACACACTTTGTTACGAGTTGATTTTGCAGTTTTTTTTTTTGTTTTTTTTTCTGAACATCTCAATGACTCATCCTCCATCCAGGTGACAACTCCCACCTGAGCATAGACATCATGGACGAGCCCGGTTCCAGCAGCCCCAGCAACGACGAGGCGGCCATGGCGGTCATCATGTCCCTGCTGGAGGCGGACGCCGGCCTGGGCGGACCTGTCGACTTCAGCGACCTGCCCTGGCCTTTGTGAGGACACTCTAAGGGAAGAAGCAGCGCGAGAGAGAGAGAGAGAGAGAGAGCGAGAGAGAGAGACTTCCTCTTAGCACCAGAGCCACTGATGGAGAGAGTTCAGTCAGGCTGAATTCTGGCTGCCATGTTTCCTGCCCTTCTACACACAACTACACTGCAAACAATGTTCATCTTAATGAATTTTTAATTGAAATCTGTCCTTACACACACACACACACACACACACACAAACTCACACACACACTCAAGAGGAGACTTTCTCTTCATGTTGTTTAGTGCAGTTCAGTCTGGATGGCTCTCACTACTCTTCAGATCTCACTCCTACTTTTTGACTCATCATTCCCTGTAGGTGGATCTGTGTTTCATCGGGGGCAGGAAGACGGATCATTATATAAACATCCTGCTCCAGCTGATGCGTTGGGATGATCATGATTGCAGTGTCAGTTGTCTGTAGATGAGGGGTTTCTCTAACATTGCCACGGTGACAGACCATTACTCTTTGAAAACAGTCCAGCAAACGGAATCGCAAGTTTTTTTGTTTTGTTTTTTTTAGATCTGCGGTGCTAACGTGTCTGCTGATGGACTGATCTCTGTCTAACAGTGGTTCTGGGTTTCTGTCGCCGCCCGGTCATCAGCCAACCCAGAGCCAACACAGGACTCCTGACACTTTCACAGACATTGGGTTGAAGTTTGATGTGGAGAGCGCTTTGATTTCTGCCTCCTACGACAGCCCCTCTCAACAGTCTGCTCGTAGGACGTTGGTGCCGTACAAACACGGCCGTGGTTCCCTCCCCCTGAACGTGGCTGCTTTAGCCCGCTGATCTCCAACATGGGAAATGAAATGAAAGTCATTTATTCCCAAGATTCCACAAGCAGGTGTATTTTAGTTCATTTGAATAATGACAAAATCCTATTTGAAAAAGCCACCTAGCTGCTATTTCCTTAACTAACATGAACGTTAACAACTTTTCTCTCCAAGCTGCTCTAAAGCTAAAGATTGACTGAAGTACATTTTCCCAGAAGAACAGAGCAGATTCAGTATTTTTAAAACACAGTTAATTCATTTTAAACAAAACTGATCTGCCTAAAAGTCCTCGCAGTAGTTCTGTAAGACAATGCATTTGAAAACTGTCCAAAAGTAATATTCAAAAAGCTTTTGCGTGTAGCAGCCAGTGATTCATGTGACTCGCTAAATAGATGAAGGGATCTTCCAAAAAAAAAAAGTCCAAACGTATAAACCCCATCTGATCTGAAAGGGACTCGAGGACGCTCCGAGGAGACCTGGAGGTTATTAGGTCTGAACAGTTGATTAAATGTAATAAGCTTGAATTAGCACGTTTCTGGGCCACCAGAGCGTCTGAATCAGAGTCCTCATCTGACCGAGCCGACCGACTCCCTGCACACGGGAAAATCATTTACTGATTTGAGTTTTCGGCACTTATCCAATTTTTAATTGGCCAAACAGCTTAATTTTAGATAATTATAAGAGTCACATTAGATTGTTTATGACTCACAACCATTTGCTTCTATAATGGTTGTGTATGCGGGGAAATGTAACAGGAGTCAAATGATCCTGTGCAGCTGTGGCCACTAACTTAAAGTAACACAACCCAGAGGTACGGTGGCCCGCGACTAAACAAGCGTGCTGCAGATTCAGTCCTATGACACAACGGAAGTGTTTCCAGCGGACACGAGCGTGGGCCGTTTGGGGGGTGGGGGTTACCATGAAGGCGTAATCCTAACTGCAGTGGCCCGGGTTCGAATCTAACCTGTGGTTGCTTCATATCATCCTCTCTCTCTCTCTCTCCCCCTGACTTTCCTGTCTCTCTCTCCCACTCTCACTACAGGAATTAAAGCAAAAAATAACTCCAAGAGAAAAAAGTGATGCACCTGCTGTGACGCTTGTTATTCAATGCTTTTACTGTAATGTAACTTCAAAACAACAAGTCCCAGCCAGGTTCATCACTTTTTAGTGTCCCCCTTGGAAACACTTGCGTTGTGTTTGTGTCTTTGCATTTGCTCTGTTCAGTTGCAGTGCGTTGAGCTCTCAGGGCCACCGTACAGAGGTGATGAGCTGTGTCCCTCTTCAATACTACAAACTCGCTCTAAGCAGGTTTCAGTCTGTGGCGTGTCCACAATGGAACAATAAATAAAGTCAAAACAAAAGAACTAAAAACCACCATAGAAAAATTTCTTGTTAGTATAAAACAGTAAAAACAATATACTGTAAAGATTAGTAAACACTATATACCGTATACAATTACCATGTAGTATTGAACTGAGATCCTGGCCATCTCTCACCCAGTGCATGCTGGGATAGGCTACAGCCCCCAGCATCCTTCCAAAGGATAACAGGGTACAGATGATAGAGCTCACAGTTCACACAATGCCTCAAAAAAAAAAAAAAAAAAAAAAAAAAAAAAAAAATCTGTGATAATTGTGAGGCAGCAGGGGATGGGAGCTGCTCTGATCCACTTATGTGTTAAGACACTGACTCACAGACCTGAGACCAGCGGCGTTACGAGAACCTTAGGTTATCAGAAACCTGAGTGGACCTGTGAAAACCTCTCCTGCTCTGTTCTCTAATGCGTGTTCTTCACCGTGTTGATAGCGGGTGCTCGGCAGGAGAACAGCGAACAGCAGGAGCGATGCCGTGACGACGGTTGCAACAAATAATCAGACTTTAATGGGAAAAAAACGAGGTGAAGTTGAATCTGGTGGGAGCAGCAGCAGCTCGGTGCGTAGGTGTGTTTTCATGGCTGTAACACTTGATTTCCCTCTGCACACGTTTTCCAGTCTCAGTAGAGAGCAGCTCAACTGCAAACCAAGACAATTTAAGTGCTCCTCCATGAGGAAGTGTTTTTTCACTGCCATTTTAGTGAGGTCGGCTCCTCACACACTGCTCTCTACAGCTAAACACATGCTGGCAGGCGAGTTAGCATCACCCCTCCCCTGACATGAATCATAAAAACCTGGTGGTCTGGGGGGGAGGGGTGGGGTCACAGGGTCTCCACCTGCTCATCTTCCAGCTACACCACATGAAGAACTTACATACATACAGTTAGACCGTCACTAAACTCCATCAGGAGAAGCGTCTCTGGAGAGATGTCATTTCTTTGCCTTTGTGATGAGAAGATTTAAGAACTGGCCGACTGTGTGTCGTCAGTGTCTGGGCTTGAATTTAGCCCCAGAAAAAAGATAAAATAAATGAATAGTAAAAGTGCCCCTCTAACTTGTTTGACTGAGGAGAACTTCAAATGAAATACCTCGTGAGTTTAATTCTACTGCATCAATGACAGATTTACGTTATATGGGTTTTTTAAAAAAAAGAAATCCCACAGTTAATCTTGAATTTGGTCTGTTTAGCACTTAATGATACACAGATGTACTGTGGCTGTATGTAACTGTCAATGCAACCTACCTTGTTTGCAGAGGCGGCTATAGTATAAAACGTGGGGGAATTATCACATAGAAACAGATAAATGTCCGAGAGACGGAGGCGGCAGTAACCCAGCAGAGTAGGATAGAGCTAATTGACATTTCTCTAATCACGTCCTGTGACAGTGAACAGGGTCAGGAGGGACGGCGAAGAGCGTCCGAGTGGAATTCTTCATTTCACTCTTCATTTTTCTTCTATGATGATGATGATGATGATGATTATGATGAATATCCTCGACACAACCTCTTCACCTTGCCAGCTCTGTGCCGCTCACTGGGCCCTCATGTTGAGTTTGTTTAGAGGTAGACATGTTTGATAGGAGCCTGACTGGTCCCCCCCACCCCCACCTGCTGTTTCAGCCCCCACCCACCGCAGCCTGGCCTGTATGGAAAGAAAAAGTGTACCAGGAATATATTTTTTGGGCCACATTTCCCATGTGCATTGAATTTTCAGAAAGCATTTGGCAGATTATTTCAAATGATAGCAAAAATTATAAAAATATTAAACTTAGAAATGTTTATATAGTCTCAAATATATACAGAATATATTCAAAATGAAGACAATTCAGGTAAATTCACTTTTATTTGTATAGCGCCAAATTACAAAATATATTATCTCAAGGTACTAACAACCACTTTTTGAAAGCTAATGAGAATCCAAAGAAAAAAGAAATATTGAAATAGGAATAAAAGTTAAGATTTACATTACAAGTGATGAAATGTACTTGGGAAAACAAGAAATACATGATTAAGTTTCCCAAATTATCCTGGAAATTCATTTCCAGTGTGTGCGTGCACACAATATACTTTTTTCCAATGAAGTGGCCAACTTTTGCATATTTGTATGCATTTATAAATTTAGAATTAATGCAATTGTAGCCACAGTTTGTGCCTTTTTTGTATTATCATTACATTTGAGTCACAGAGATGAAGTCACCTTTTTGTTTTTTGTGTTTTTTGGCTGGACTGCGACAGACACCCTGAAAAACTTGAATCTGACTGAGTGATAAAATCACACCATTGGTCGGCCGGTTGAGTGCTGGAGTTTCCTTACTGGCTGTTGCTCTTTCAAAATGAATTGGCGTTAATAGTTTCTATTGCATCATCAGATGCCGTTTACAGGCAGTGTTGAGCACTTAGAGCCTTAATGACTTTTCATGTTTTCATAAAAGCACCTAGCAACCAATCTAGCGACTTTTTGGACAAATCTTTGCTGCTTCTCTGTAGAAGAGAATCACGAGTATTGCTCCACAAGCACAAGGTCTGGACCCTTTGTATCATGTATTATAATGTATGAAAATGGAAAAAAAAATACCTATTTCTCAATCAGCTTCTTATTTGAAGTGATGGATTCTCGCATAAAGAGACAATTCTCTCAGTTTTTGAATGAGAATCTGATGACAGTTTTTTGGTGTCTGTCAATCAAATCTGACCAACCCACACAGTCCTAAACCAGATTCATTGATAATTGACTGTTAAATGTTCTGATCTTGACTGTTATTTAATTAGTCATGACTGTTAAATGTCACACAAAAACACTTAGAAACCACATTTTCAGGGGCTTTAAAACAGGCAAATAAAACTGCTAATAACATTTTTATATTTTGGCTGACATTGTACAAATTGAGCAATAATGTAATTTGTGGCCACCATCTTTGTTTGGATGACAAAACACAGTCCCAACTAATAATGACAAATGCTCAGCAACTTTCTGGGTTTATTAAATATCGTAGGAATTTATCTCTCAGGAAATGTGACTTTGAATGTAATAATAATAAACGTCAGGCACAAACTGGGGTGATGGAAGTCAAACATATTTTCTTTCCTCATGGGCAGAAAGCTTCTAACATCCGTCTCGATATCGACCAGTTGTGGCTGAGCATCCGTCAGCCCTTTAAAACTAGATTCTGTCTCGCTGCAGCAGTTCCTGTGCCACACATCTGTGTCGCCCCCCTCGGTTAGTGCGTACAGTTGGGTTGCACCAGGTCTGTTAACAAGAACATCCCCCCACCCCCACCCCCCCCTCCTGTCCTCCTGAGGCAGCAGCTGGTGAGGTCCCCCTGTGTATCTGTTCTAGTGGTTTTCTGTTTCAATGTTTTTACGCTACACACTACAATAAAGTGTTTCCCCTGTTGATATCCCCCTCCCCACCTGACAATAATGTATCAAATCTTTAAATATTATCATGTTAAGAGTATACTTTATGCAAATATATATGAGTATGATGAGTGTATTGTATGTATCAACAGTGAAATATTTTTAAAATAAAACTATTTGTTTCTGTCATTGTTGATTCGGTCTTTCAAGTGCAGATCTGCGTTTTCCTCGCTGTGTTTTCATTCATGACTGTGGTTTACACCTGATCTGTTCCTTCAGCCAATCACTGGAGCCTGGTGGTATTTTTATATGATGTTGCCATCCAGCTGCTGGAAGGTCTGCCACCGAGTGAAGCGCAGAAGGAGATGTTGGCACAGCTGCACGTCTGCAAGCCTCTTTATTAACCACACAGCTGAATGGAGGTCAGTGAATAACACTCTTCACTTTAATGCCTGATGCTCAAAAAAAGAGTGATTAGTTGTTGGAGAATGTAAGAGACTTAGAAACCTTGTGAGCTTATTTGATGTTTGAATTGGTGGCCCAAAAAGTCTTTTAAATCATGAGCAGATGTTATGTATATTTAATCCTTATTCCCCATTCTTGAGTCGGGTCATTTCCAGCTATCAAACGTTCTTTTATCTGCTGCCAAACCTTCAGAAAAACCTCCCGAAACAGTTTGAAAATTAAAACTCAGAAGGTTTCTTGTTCATGTTCTGCATCTTAATGAGGCCTTCTGGACCACAGCTACTGACGTTAATGTCTTTTGGTTCCCTTAAGTTCTGTTACTGCTCAGATATTGTTAGATTTTAAATGGCAGAAAAGGAAAACATACTCCATATTAACATGGTTGAAGGTCAAAGCCCAGGACCCTGCTGCTTGTGTCAACTGATACATCTGGACACAGTATTGCTCTACAAACTCTCAGGAGTGTCTCACATCATGATGTGATGACAGAGCAGTGATGTGTGTAACGCTGCACCAGCTGGGATGCAGGATATCCAGGATGTGGTGCTGAGTCACTCCACTCCGATTAGATCGGCCTCTACAGAGTCTGCAGGCCTGCCTCATCTGTCACACATCTTATCGCAAGTAACTGCTTTCAAATACTGATTTTACGAGTGCATAGTAAAAGTAGTTATACTGTAATGTAAATACTCAATTACAAGTAAAAGGCCTGTATTCAGAGATTATTTGAACTACTGTAAATACTGTTGAATAGTTTAATATGTAGCCATGCACAATATTTAATAAGTTGATCACGTTTTGTTTGTACAATCTGAATCAGCTAGATAAACCAGATAAATGTGGAGTGAAAACGTCATATTTCCCAGTGAAATGTAGAGGTATAAAGCAGCATATACAGTATGACAAACTGCTGTCTCATTTAATCCCTGCCAGCTGTTACTTTTGAAGTGGAAATTTACACATTTGGCAGACACTTTTATCCAAAAAATGTGATTTATGAAGCTTTGTCCAAAGTTCAGTAAGGAGGATCTTTACGTTGGTTATTTACTTTCCCGCGCTGTCACATTCCCTCCATTCACAATCCTGACATCACCATAACTGACCAATCATCTTTCGAAGTTTTACTGGCTGCAGTTCTTTAAATTTCATTGCACTTCTGCCTGCGTGTCTTTCAGACCTACTGTTACACAACCCACCTCCACTGTAACCTCCATGATTTCCAGGGACACTTGCACCACCACCAGTGTCTAGACTCCGGGGATCCTGTTCTGTCTCCTCTGTTCATATGGGCCTACACTTGAAGAAGATGCCTCAATGGAGTCAAGTACAGAGGTACCAATTGTTTTGTCACATTCATACTTTTTGTTTAATTGATCATTTCTGATTTGCAGCTTTTTTTTTAAATTTTTTTGGACTGTGTTTTATTTCTGTTTAAACAATTAGCATTTTTAACATTTGTTTTTTTTTTTGTTAAGGAACACTAAAATAAAAAAAGGATAGATATTAATACAGCTGTGTTCTCTAAAACATCTGTTCTTACTCATATACTAACGAATACTAACATACAACCAATCTACTAATATGTCCCCTGAGCAGCACTACTTCTTCAGGGCAGCCTGGATGCTGCAGTGACTCAGTATCGGAAAGTGACTCGACAGTCCGACTGGTCCGGGGCTAGCTGGTTAGCATGCAGTACAAGAAAAGAAGTGATAGAAATAGAAGCAAAACACCTTCCTTTTATTTGAACTCGCAACGTTTCCTCTAGACTGGTAAGTAAACAGCTGTTAATGCTAACATTGGCTATGTAGCATTAGCAAAACATACAGATAGCTAAGATTTATAGTCACTGTTACAGATCCATTCATAGCAGAAGTGATCCTGCAGGCTGACCACTAAAACCTGAAAACAACCATCCACTTGCTTTATCATGGAAATAAAGAAGTGATTGACACCGGTGTTGTGAATACTCTTTATTAGAAAAACATTGTGTTCAACATCTTTTCTGACATCCTGTGTGCTCACAGCAGTGGTGATGAACCTGTGCAGAGTTTTCTGAGCAGCTGAGGGGGGAAAAAAAGTGAAAACACAAGACTTCAACAAACTAGGATTAAAATCAACTGATATAAACAACAGAAGGAGTGGAACATATGAAAAACGCTCATCTATGTTGTGTAAAACAAAAACACACTTCACTCTTTCATCAAGACCTTCACATGTGCTGGAAAAAGTGAAACTTCACCAACCGACCAGCCCCCAAATCAACTCTGAAGAGGCACTGAAATCCACTTTCTCAGAGAGGTACAGTATCCAAGCAGCACGACACACACTCCACACACTCACAGCCGTCACACATGCTTCTTTATAATGAAATACAGTACTCTTGTCTTTTCACATGTTTACAGAATGCAACTGAATTCTCCTTTCGTCAGATAAATAAAACCACATGATGGAGAGAGGTGGGCGAGGAGGCCTGCTGATGTGCTTTTACCTATGGTTGGCTGAGCAGCTCTCGTTCATTCGGACGCTGTGTGAAAAGGCTGCAGCAGACGTGCAACAGAAGGCAAAGTGGTGTTTAGCCACTCAGGAGGAGGAGGAGGAGGAGGAGGAGGATATTGGGCGGGGGGTGGTGGTGGTACAGGAACAAAGTTTGTGTTCACACTGAAAGCAACAAGTGGCAGGAAGTGGCACTAGTTCAGGCTGAGAAAGGTTGAACTTTGCGTATTGGCTGTATGAGGACAATCAGGTTTCTGTGCTTCACTATGTCACTACTGAATGTGAATCTCATTTTGATGCTGAGAGAATAGTTGTGTTTGAGTGCTTCATTCCTCTTTAGCAGCTTCTAGCTCTGAATTTAGCTCAGTGTAATGATGTAAATAAAAGCGTTGTTGCTGGCAGTGTGAACACAGGAGGGTGAAAGTGTGTATGTGTGTGCCATCAGTCTCATGCAGAGGGTGACGGTGTGTCAGGGTCCGGCTCGTAGTGGTAAGTGGCCTGAGTGTGGCTGCTGCCGTGCTGCTGCTGCTGCTGGTTGCTGTGGGCCAGGCTGTGCGCGGCCGGGTTCGGACTGTCCTGAGCCTGCTGGTTCAGGCCCTCATGGGCCTGTGCTAGGGGCTGGGGGCTTGTGTTGTTCTCCAGCGCCTGCCCAGGCGCCGGCTGGTGGGGGTCGTTGGCGGGTGGCAACGGCGGCAGAGTGTCCAGCTCGTCCACCTGCGGACCCGGAGGGTGCATGACCACCAGCTGGTCCTGGGGAATGTCTGCGGCAGCCGCAGCCAGGTTGGTGGTAGACTTGGACTTGACGCACTGGAAGTCCACGTGGCGGCTCTTCCCTTCCTCCTTCTCCCAGGACATGCGGATGAAGGGACGCTGGACATAGTTGTAGATGACCTCTGGACGACCTCCAGGACGACGCTTCACCTTCTCTTTATAGGTCGGGTAGCCTGGTATAAACAAAAGGAAAAAAAAATGATCAGAAGAATATTTAAGGAAACAACTACAGCCTTCTTGTTGAAGTTAAAGGAATAGTTTGACTTTTTAGTGAATACACTTTTTCTTATTCCGCCTGTAAAAACATGTTATGCCACAGATTCAGCCATAAAGACATTTATAGGGAGCTAATTGTAAGTTTTGCTATTACTGCATAGCCAGTGTTAGCATTAGCAGCTATTTACTTACCATTCTTGTCAATAGCTTCAGCCATCATTGTGTTTACAAGACAAGACGTTATAATATGGCCTCTAAGCAGCGCTACATCTTCAGGACAGACTGGATGCGACAGTGACTCAGTATATAACAATGTTTTGACAACAGCTAAGGACAAAGATCTATAGAAATGAATGTATCTAGCTATGACATACTGTGCTGTCAGCCACATTCTTGTAAAATTTCCCCAGAGAATTTATCAAACCTCTTAACTTCAGACATTTTATGATCAGGCTGTAAAATAGATGAAATTCTTATCTGAAGCAGAAACAGGGGGAAAAAAAAGCAGCAGCCAGTCCATACATTATTATTACTGGAAACAGAGTTTTGAGACGACATAGGAGAAGAAAACTCTTTGACTCTGTACCTTCTATTCCCAGACGGATCTTTTTTAGTCCTCTGTCCTTCAGCACAGACTTGGCCACGTCTCTGTTCTCTATGTACTTGAAGAAGCGGTACAATTTGGTGCTGTAGATGACTGTGGGAGGGGAAAGACATTTAAAACATGAATCCACAACAGCAACTGCAGACAGCTCTCCTCATAGACCATGACGTTTTTATGACTTTTCATGCCTTATTATACTATGACGTTTTATGACTTTTTATACTTTACCATACTATGACATTTTTTATACCTTATTATACTATGACGTTTTCATGACTTTTCATGCCTTATTATACTATGACGTTTTATGACTTTTTATACTTTACCATACTATGACATTTTTTATACCTTATTATACTATGACATTTTCATGACTTTTCATGCCTAACTATACTTTGACTTTTTATACCTTATTATACTATGACGTTTTCATGACTTTTTATGCCTTACTATACTATGACGTTTTTTATGACTTTTTATACCGTATTATACTAGGACGTCTATACTATGACTTTTTTTTTTTGCTTTTTATGCCTTACCATACTATGACATTTTTTATACCTTATTATACTATGACGATTTTGTGACTTTTCATGCCTTACTATACTTTGACTTTTTATACTTTACCATACTATTACTTTTTATGCCATATTATACTATGACGACTTTACTGTGATGTTTTTTTACTTTTTATGCCTTACCATACTATTACTTTTCATACCTTATTATACTATGACTTTTTATGCCTTTCTATACTTTGACTTTTTATACTTTAACATACTATTACTTTTTATGCCATATTATACTATGACGTTTTTATGACTTTTTATGCCTTGCTATGACTTTTTATGCTTTACCATACTATGACTTTTTATACCTTATTATACTGTGATGTTTTTATGACTTTTCATACCTTATAATACTATGACTTTTTATACTTTACCATACTATGACTTTTTATACCTTATTATACTATGATTTTTTTATGCCTTACTATACTATGTTTTTATGACTTTTTATGCCTTACTATACTATTACTTTTTTATACCATATTATACTATGACGTCTATGCTATGACTTTTTATGCCTTACTATACTATAACGTTTTTATGACTTTTTATGCCTTACTATACTATGACGTTTTTATGACTTTTTATGCCTTACCATACTATGATTTTTCATACCTTATTATACTATGATGTTTTTATGACTTTTCATGCCTTATTATACTATGACTTTTTATGCCTTACTATACTATGACGTTTTTTTACTTTTTATGCCTTACTATACTTTGACTTTTTATACTTTACCATACTATTACTTTTTATGCCATATTATACTATGACGTCTATACTATGACGTTTTTTTTTACTTTTTATGCCTTACCATACTATTACTTTTTATGCCTTATTATACTATGACTTTTTATGCCTTACCATACTATGAGTTTTTATGACTTTTCATACCTTACTATACTATGACTTTTTATACCTTATTATACTATGATGTTTTTATGACTTTTCATACCTTATAATACTATGACTTTTTATACTTTACCATACTATGACTTTTTGTACCTTATTATACTATGATGTTTTTATGACTTTTCATACCTTATAATACTATGACGTTTTCATGACTTTTTATGCCTTACTATACTATGACTTTTTATACTTTACCATACTATGATTTTTTATACCTTATTATACTATGACGTTTTTATGACTTTTTATACCTTACTATACTATTACTTTTTATACTTTACCATACTATGACTTTTTATACCTTATTATACTATGATGTTTTTATGACTTTTCATACCTTATAATACTATGACTTTTTATACTTTACCATACTATGACTTTTTGTACCTTATTATACTATGATGTTTTTATGACTTTTCATACCTTATAATACTATGACGTTTTCATGACTTTTTATGCCTTACTATACTATGACTTTTTATACTTTACCATACTATGATTTTTTATACCTTATTATACTATGACGTTTTTATGACTTTTTATACCTTACTATACTATTACTTTTTATACTTTACCATACTATGACTTTTTATACCTTATTATACTATGATGTTTTTATGACTTTTCATACCTTATAATACTATGACTTTTTATACTTTACCATACTATGACTTTTTGTACCTTATTATACTATGATGTTTTTATGACTTTTCATACCTTATAATACTATGACGTTTTCATGACTTTTTATGCCTTACTATACTATGACTTTTTATACTTTACCATACTATGATTTTTTATACCTTATTATACTATGACGTTTTTATGACTTTTTATACCTTACTATACTATTACTTTTTATACTTTACCATACTATGACTTTTTATACCTTATTATACTATGATGTTTTTATGACTTTTCATACCTTATAATACTATGACTTTTTATACTTTACCATACTATGACTTTTTGTACCTTATTATACTATGATGTTTTTATGACTTTTCATACCTTATAATACTATGACGTTTTCATGACTTTTTATGCCTTACTATACTATGACTTTTTATACTTTACCATACTATGATTTTTTATACCTTATTATACTATGACGTTTTTATGACTTTTTATACCTTACTATACTATTACTTTTTATACTTTACCATACTATGACTTTTTATACCTTATTATACTATGATGTTTTTATGACTTTTCATACCTTATAATACTATGACTTTTTATACTTTACCATACTATGACTTTTTGTACCTTATTATACTATGATGTTTTTATGACTTTTCATACCTTATAATACTATGACGTTTTCATGACTTTTTATGCCTTACTATACTATGACTTTTTATACTTTACCATACTATGATTTTTTATACCTTATTATACTATGACGTTTTTATGACTTTTTATACCTTACTATACTATTACTTTTTATACTTTACCATACTATGACTTTTTATACCTTATTATACTATGATGTTTTTATGACTTTTCATACCTTATAATACTATGACTTTTTATACTTTACCATACTATGACTTTTTGTACCTTATTATACTATGATGTTTTTATGACTTTTCATACCTTATAATACTATGACGTTTTCATGACTTTTTATGCCTTACTATACTATGACTTTTTATACTTTACCATACTATGATTTTTTATACCTTATTATACTATGACGTTTTTATGACTTTTTATACCTTACTATACTATTACTTTTTATACTTTACCATACTATGACTTTTTATACCTTATTATACTATGATGTTTTTATGACTTTTCATACCTTATAATACTATGACTTTTTATACTTTACCATACTATGACTTTTTGTACCTTATTATACTATGATGTTTTTATGACTTTTCATACCTTATAATACTATGACGTTTTCATGACTTTTTATGCCTTACTATACTATGACTTTTTATACTTTACCATACTATGATTTTTTATACCTTATTATACTATGACGTTTTTATGACTTTTTATACCTTACTATACTATTACTTTTTATACTTTACCATACTATGACTTTTTATACCTTATTATACTATGATGTTTTTATGACTTTTCATACCTTATAATACTATGACTTTTTATACTTTACCATACTATGACTTTTTGTACCTTATTATACTATGATGTTTTTATGACTTTTCATACCTTATAATACTATGACGTTTTCATGACTTTTTATGCCTTACTATACTATGACTTTTTATACTTTACCATACTATGATTTTTTATACCTTATTATACTATGACGTTTTTATGACTTTTTATACCTTACTATACTATTACTTTTTATACTTTACCATACTATGACTTTTTATACCTTATTATACTATGATGTTTTTATGACTTTTCATACCTTATAATACTATGACTTTTTATACTTTACCATACTATGACTTTTTGTACCTTATTATACTATGATGTTTTTATGACTTTTCATACCTTATAATACTATGACGTTTTCATGACTTTTTATGCCTTACTATACTATGACTTTTTATACTTTACCATACTATGATTTTTTATACCTTATTATACTATGACGTTTTTATGACTTTTTATACCTTACTATACTATTACTTTTTATACTTTACCATACTATGACTTTTTATACCTTATTATACTATGATGTTTTTATGACTTTTCATACCTTATAATACTATGACTTTTTATACTTTACCATACTATGACTTTTTGTACCTTATTATACTATGATGTTTTTATGACTTTTCATACCTTATAATACTATGACGTTTTCATGACTTTTTATGCCTTACTATACTATGACTTTTTATACTTTACCATACTATGATTTTTTATACCTTATTATACTATGACGTTTTTATGACTTTTTATACCTTACTATACTATTACTTTTTATACTTTACCATACTATGACTTTTTATACCTTATTATACTATGATGTTTTTATGACTTTTCATACCTTATAATACTATGACTTTTTATACTTTACCATACTATGACTTTTTGTACCTTATTATACTATGATGTTTTTATGACTTTTCATACCTTATAATACTATGACGTTTTCATGACTTTTTATGCCTTACTATACTATGACTTTTTATACTTTACCATACTATGATTTTTTATACCTTATTATACTATGACGTTTTTATGACTTTTTATACCTTACTATACTATTACTTTTTATACTTTACCATACTATGACTTTTTATACCTTATTATACTATGATGTTTTTATGACTTTTCATACCTTATAATACTATGACTTTTTATACTTTACCATACTATGACTTTTTGTACCTTATTATACTATGATGTTTTTATGACTTTTCATACCTTATAATACTATGACGTTTTCATGACTTTTTATGCCTTACTATACTATGACTTTTTATACTTTACCATACTATGATTTTTTATACCTTATTATACTATGACGTTTTTATGACTTTTTATACCTTACTATACTATTACTTTTTATACTTTACCATACTATGACTTTTTATACCTTATTATACTATGATGTTTTTATGACTTTTCATACCTTATAATACTATGACTTTTTATACTTTACCATACTAT